CTCTCTCTCTCTCTCTCTCTCTCTCTCTCTCTCTCTCTCTCTCTCTCTCTCTCTCTCATTTTTAGAAATGTAATTCATTATATTAAGAAGTAATATATACCCACCCTAGAAAGTTGGGAAAACAAAGGTTAAAAAAAAAGAAATAAAAGTTAAATCACTCAGCGTTACCACACAGCATTCTTTACCTATATCCTAGTCTTTTTTTTTCTTTTTTCTATACAGGTATAAATTCAGTATGTTTAACAAGTTTGGGCTAATTTTGAGTACTGATCTTTCTCCACTCAGCATTATGGAATGAGCAGTTTTCCTTTGACTTTAAGTATGATCCAAACGTGATTTTGATTACTGTATTTTGTCATAGAGATGTTTCACAACTTAACTCCAATCCTTTACAGGTGCATAATAGTTCTTTAAAAAAAAAATAAATGATGATGATGCAAAGACCATTCTTATAAATCTCTGTCTAAGATAATTCCCTAATATTAAATAGAAGTGAAATTTATGCGTCAACATTTAAGTCTGTGGCTACAAATGGCCAGCTTGCCTCCCAGTTAGGTTCTGCCAGTTCACACTCCCTCCGACCAGCATTGCAGGGATGTGCCTGCCTCTGAAGTGCCTTCATTTAAAACTTTTCCCAATCCTCCTATCTACAGGCACTGGATTTGTTCTGAAATGACCACCCTCCCCAAGATGATTTCTTACTGTGACTGCATCTTTTCACCTGGATTTTTTCTACCTCTACCACAAAAATCAGGATAAACAAGTAAAAGAAAAAAATGTAACCAGCTGAGACCAAACACCACCACCAGGCAGTGTATTTTTTAATTCTCCAGCACCTTTACTGAAAAAAAAACTGAAATTTGGACAATGACCTCTATATATCAGTTTTATAAAGTAAAATTACTCATTGTATTCTCTATTTCTAGGCAATGTTTTATTTGTATTTTGTAAAATGAATTTTAAATTACTCATTTCAATATGTTAAGGGAAAAATAACTAATTGTGTTTCATCTCATCATCAAATAGTATTGGGCTTCCCCCTTACAGAGTGCTAGTGGCTCCATCAGTCCCTCATGCTATTGAGTTATTCGTCTATCCAGTTAAAAATTGTGCTGACATTTTACATACAGTGCGAGTGGGTCCAAAACCAAAAGGGATCACAGAAGTGCTCTTTCTTCTCCCACTTAAAGTCCTGAAACCTAAACACCGTTAAAAAAAAAAAAATCTACAAGTCTTAAATAAGTAAAAAAAAAAAAAAAAGGTTCAACTCTAAGAATCATTAATAATTTGTTGAAAGAACCAATTTTGAAAACCAGAATTTAAAAACACACACAACACAACCTGTGCAGACAAAGGGCCTCAAAGTCTTTGGATTCTGAAGAGAAAGTACAACCATCATCCTTCAGGCTGTCCCTCATATTCTGAAGCATTGTGCTATGTGCTTAGTAGGCACACGATATCCTACAGTGAGCCCCTCTTCGGCTTAGTCAATAATACCCAAAGGACCTCCAAATAAAAAGCTATTTCCCTACTATTAGAATTATGCTCACAATTCTTAAAACTGTTACAGCTTATAAAATGCTTTGTTTTCTGTAAGTTTTTTATATGTTGGGAAGCTGCTCCAAAATATATAGTCTCTGAAGGCATCTTTAAATCATTGTATTAATAGAATAAATTGAGTCCAAATAAGGATCAGAAACACAGAGGAATGGAGAGATATTTTCCTTACATCAAATTATCCCTGGAGGTAAGGCAAAATGACCTGCATTTGCAACAGGAATTTACTGCACCTCCGTATCTTGACACTCAACTCTTCTAAGCAACGTGATAGTTTTATTTTTTCACGTTAGATCCATAAATTCACTGTACTTTTAAATAGTGTTTTAGTATATAAAACAACCTGTTAAAATTGTTTTATTCTTTATTATCTTCTAAACCAAAATTGATAGAAGCATCAGTAGACATTGGTTTTTCCTTTTTGAAAAACAATTTTTTTGAGAGAGACATTGATTTGTTGTCCCACTTATTTATGCATCTAGTGGCTGATTCTCGTACGTGCCCTGACTGGGGAACAAACCCACCACTTTGGGGTATCAGGATGATGCTGAAACCAACTGAGCTACCCAGCTACGGCAGCACTGGTTTTTCAGTACCTTTACCAGTTAAAAAAAAAAAAACNATCAGGATGATGCTGAAACCAACTGAGCTACCCAGCTACGGCAGCACTGGTTTTTCAGTACCTTTACCAGTTTAAAAAAAAAAAAAAAATCCTAATGGTGTCAATTACATCTGGAAAATTGTAATAATTAGTTTTTGAAATCTTAAAGTAATTTGGACACTTGGAATGTACCATTTTAGATGTTGCTTGGAGTCAATTTATTTATACACTCTTTGCTGACTGAAAACTGCCTTTTGGTCTCAAACTAAATTCCCCATAACTATCAGGTTACTATTAGTATTCAGACATGTAAACCAAAAAAAGATCTAAATGAAATCATATTTGGAAGACATAATCAGGCTTTCCAAGGAAAGTAAAAATAATCAGAAGCCTTTGCCATCAACAGGCAGTCATTCAGGCTGATCTTCGTTTACAGTTGCCCAATGTGAAAGCAGATTTTGGCAAAATTAGCACTGGAAATTGAACCAAATATTATGCTAGTATGCATGAACATACAATTAAGACCCTTGGGTTGGTGTTTATTATTGCATTTGTCAGCATTTCCATTATAAAAACACTATTGTGGAAGATTTATAACATAGCTATAAAAATTCTGAGTTGAAACTTGATAAGCCAGTTTAATATAACTTTATTTTTTGTAATTACAAATCCTCAAAAAAAGAAAAGTAACTAAGACATTAAGCACATTTTACAAGTGAGGTCCCAAAATGTACCTGCAACTTTAAAAACCAAGAGAGTCTATTTAATACGAAATATAAATTAGATTATTTCATTTTCATCAAAAGTAGCCGGCAGAATAATAACAAATGTTAAGTACAAACTCTACTTTTTATAGGGTGATATTTCATTAAATTATATTTAAATGTGTTGGGAAAGTGTTGAAATTTTGGTATATATCTGTATCTTGGCCCAAGTTCCTTCCTAGGTTCCCAAACTTGCCAACATTTTGGGTGAAGTTAGGCCCAAATTCTGGTCAGTGCCCTCTCTTCCTGGGAATGCTGGACTAAAAAAGGTTACAAAACAAGAGTCAGCAGTTCTGACCATTTTGTTTTGACTTTGGGGTTTCTTTGAATCCAAAGCTCAAAACCAAACCTGGCGGAGGAAGGGAAGGAAAGCAAAGAAGCAATGCAAACTGACAGGGATAAAATACCAGAAAGATGGAAAAACTTCTCCAAGGCTCTCGAAACCAAAGCTTATAAATTACCGCAACTCTCTCCGTGACACCAAAGTTTCAGCTCTGTGCTTAAAATACATTCTGCAAAGAAGTATGAGGGAATAGAACGAAATGCAAAGAACAGTGTGAATGTATTTTAAAACACCCTTTATGGCTAAAATTTGGCAGAATCCTACCCTTAAAATTGTACAAGGCAAAGAAGCTTTAATATTTAGTGAAATCAAGAATTTGACAAATATTACAGAAGAGAAATGATCATAATAAAATATCTTATGGGTACTTAGTCACTTGTTGTTTTCAAAGCCCTATTCAGGTACTTGCTCTCAGATGATCCTCCCAACTGGATTTCATGAGGATCTAGAGTCTCAGTTAAATTGAGTGGTCAGTGTGCCATCTTAAAAATTCATTTGCTCGCTGAAATCAGCATGATACTGAGATTCCTAAAAAGGACCAATGGTCACATAGAAGCAGCACATGACTTTGAAAGATATTGCCTTCAAAGATCAAAAGCACGTTAACACACTCTGTGGATGATAAATTATACAAAAGTCTGGTATGGTCTGCTCCCTCAAAGGCCAAATTTTACAACCTTCTATTTAGGGCTCTATGAAGGAGATTTCCACCTGCAGCCAGCAAATGTAGATGACCTCAAAGCAGCTGTTAAAGACAGCTTTTTATGCTATCCAGTCTTCAAACGGGAGAGACATGTCTATGAGATATGGAAATAGATCAAACAGTTGGTGAGCAATAAAACGCAACGGCATCATATAAACGCATTTGAATGGACGAATGAATGAATGAATATGATTATACAATTATTTTACTGCAGATAATTTTGTGACTTCTTCAAAACTTAATAAAATCACAGGTTATATTTGTTACCAGTCAGATCTCGAACTCTATTTAGTCCCATAATTTAGTAAATTGCTGACCAATTTAATCCCATAGTTTAGTGAAATGTTGGAGAAACTAGAAATGGGCTCAAGGAGAACCACCAAGTAATTGGATTATTAGTTCTGGATGAAGTAGTAACATCTATAATAATTAGTAGTAATATCTATAATAATATATATATACATATATACTGTATTGCTTAATGAAAGCACACGTTCTAAATGCTGTGTTTAGTTCTTCACATAACTATTAAAGTTCTCATTATAACTTCAGGATATATTATTATCTTCATGTTATTACCCTCATAGTGATGAGGACACCATGGAAGAGAGAAGTTACATAACTTCCCAAGCTCAATCAGCTAATACATAGTGAAGCTAAGATGTATGCCGAGTGAAAAATTTCAGAGAACAAATTCTTAGACACTGAGATTATTTGTAAATGATTACATGATTATTACATTTAAGCAGAAATGATGTGAAAATGAGTATTCTTTATCTTTACTGAGGACCTCAGAAATATACGCATGGGCTTTTCTTATACCAGAGAGATATAGTCTCTGCAAAAAACCAGAAAGATGTACTACTGGTGGAAGTTTTTGAAAAGGCCTTGGAATAATCTTCTGTGGCTATTTTGAGGCCACAGCTTTCTTTTGATGAATGCGTGCTTATGAACAAAAGCTTTAGAATTCAACAGAAGTGGGTTTGAATCACAAGTACATCACATGATGCTATGGAAGCTGGTACAACTTAACCTTGTTGACCCTCAGTTTCTTCATCTTTAAAATGGGAATAATGTTTATCTGATAGGACTCTTATGAGGACTGGCTGAAATATGTATGCAGAGTAAATGGTGTATAGTGAGCACTCAGTAAATGGTAACTTCTATTAGAATAGACATCATCATCATCATCATTATTGTTACATCCCTTCCGATTCTAGGGCAATGAAGACTCTACGAACAAGCCATCACCTTCACCACCAATGGTTATAGGTAAAAGCATGAAATACTATATAAAGATCAGGAGTCATTTTATAATTCTTTTAAATACATTGAAAAAAATAAAATAATTTTTTTTGTCCCCAATATTTTTTATGTCTGGAATACTTGCCTGCCAGCATTTAGTCCTGGTATGCATATCTTTTTAAGTCAGACATTGTATCCCATGTATCCTGCTACTGTAATAGCACATATATTAAAAAACAAATGGTAGGTCACTTTAAATCTGAAAAAAATTATCTGAATTCATTCAGAGTAGTTCTGTTTTGTCAGCAGCCCAGACATTATATTTAAGTATATGTTTTCCAAATTAGTGTGCATTTATTCAGATCAGATAATTCCTGATGAAATAATTCTGTATCTTAGTTGCAATGGTGGCTACACTAATCTACATATCTGATAGAATGGCCCAGAACTATGCCTTTTCACACCAATGTCAACTTCCCAGTTTTGATATTATACTATAATGTGTAGGAAGTAACTAGTGGAAACTGAAAGGAACAGCACAGAATCTCTCTAACATTTCTGCAATGCCCTGTAATCTATAATTATTTCAAAATAAAAAGTGAAAAAATCAGATAATTACTATGACATTCCTTTGAACCTATAAAGTACCTTACAAATGTAAATTATTAATTTTAGGGAGACATTCACATATACTTGATTCATATCATGTTCTAAATTTTTTCTTCAAGTGTTTCATGAACATGAAACCAAGTTTTATGCATGGTATTACGTGGATCCTGGAAGAAAAATCAGGACTCAGCCCCGAAAGGACATAGACAAGCACTGAGTATCTGATTCTAGGTCCTTTGGTTCATGCTGACATTTTTTTTTTTTTAATTAAATTTATTGTGTTGACATTGGTTAATAAGATTATAGAGGCTTCAAATATACATTTTTGATACATCATCTGTATATTGCATTGCCTGCCCACCACCCAAAGTCAAGTCTTCTGTCACCGTATGTTTGACCCCCTTTACCCTTGACTACCCCCACACCCCCTTCCCTCTGGTAACTGTTGTCTGTGTCTATGAGTTTTTGTTTGTTTGTTTTTCTTGTCTGTTCATTTGCTGCTTTCAGTTTTATATCCCACATATGAGTGAAATCATATGGTTCTTAACTATTCCTGACTTTTTTCACTTAGCATGATATTCTCAAGATCCATCCATGCTGACATTCTTGGCAAAAGGCATTCTCAAGTATGGATTTATAGTGTTGGAGGAGCTTCACATCTTAATTCTCCTACTTACTAAATTAGGTAACTCACTTAAAACATCTGGGCTTCAGTACCTACCCTGATCTGTAAAATGGAAATAATAAACTCAGGGTTATTTAAAATATCAGGAGAGATCCTATAAAGTGCTTAGTACAGGGCCTCACACAGAGTAATACTTGGCCACTGTTGTTGCTGTTTATGCTAGTTCAATGTTGAGCTTTTATAGAGAGCAAAATGACAATTCAGCCTTTTAGAAGGGCTCATGAAAACACACAAAAAAGTGATATTCAATAGTCTGTACTGCTTCTCCTAAATGGAATCAGAGTCTTAAGTAGAATGACATTTGTGTCCAATTTGAGCTGCTGTCGTAATAACATATTTTTGTTTTTAAAACATGGATATTTAAGGTAAGACTTCTGATCTATGAAATATGTAATCACAGTC